GCTCTGAAGGCAATTCATATAAATAATAATATAATCCACGCCTACGCTGGAGGAAGTTCAAACTTCAGAGGTGGAACTAAATGCAGTAAATTTGCAGTAAATCAGAAAATACCAGAAAAATACCAGATTTAGGCATATATACCAGATCTAAAATATTCATACCAGACACTTTTGAAAATACCAGATTTGTGAAATCTGGTATAGAAAGATACCATCTGGCAATGCTGGTTCAGCGTTACTTGAAATCATCTACAGACAATGTTGCCATTCCATTCAGATGAAAACCGTGTCTAAATCAGAACTGTGTCGGACAGCACTCGGCGCGGAATCGATGACCGTGATTTGCACGAACGTCTGCGCGAACAAAATATAATTAGATTGATTTACGCGAGAAATTTCCCCGTTTATATACATCTTCCTGAGTGTGGCATAGGCCATATATATATATAGGGTAAATGCGGTATATTCAGACATCATTGGTAATTCTGACGCTTCCCAACTTTTTTCCTTTTTATTAAGCTTTTTCTTAGTTCCATCACTTCCATGCATTCGTTGATGGTTGAAAACTTGAAATAGTGACGTCATACTTTTGTGGGCCATACTAGGGTAAACGCGGTACATAGTGGCAAACCAGAGATTTTTTAGAATCAGTTCATTTTTAATTTCTTCATTTATCAATATTAAAACCAATTTCTTATGTATGATAATGCTGGTATCCATGATACTTTAACTGGTCTACTTATAGGACTCAAAATTGAACTTGAGGGAGAGTCTAAAAAACTCTCTGCTTTGCCACTATGACGCGGTATATTCCGACATTGTAGGTAGGGTAAACGCGGTATATTCCGACACTTTAAGGACGCATCGAGAAATGAAAAACTATAAAAAAAACCGTATGCGTTACGTAAGTTCTGTTGCCTTCACATGACTCTCAAAACACTTCACTACGCGTCAGCAACAATGAAACGTCACAAAGTGTTGCCATATTTATTTAAAAGCCTTTAGAATGCAAACCTACCAAATCCCTATATTCCGACACTGTGTGTGGCAATATTCAGCACGTGGTGAGGCGTATTCCGTCCTCGCTTCAAATTCTACCGATACGTAATGCTATCATCCACGTGTTCAAATTCCGTTCGCTGTGTGAGCCTGTGAGGCTGTGAGCCATAGTGACCAACAAGAGATTTTTTAGAATCAGTTCATTTTTAATCTCCTCATTTAGGGTAAACGTGGTATATTCCGACATCGTAGGTAATTCCGTCACCTCTCCAGCTTTTCCTTTATATTAAGCTTTGTTTTAGTTCCATGCGTTCATTGATGGTTGAAATGGTGACGTCATACATTTGCGTGTCGAAAAGATGTGTATAAGAGACAGCTCTTTATCTCAGTANGGGGCTAAAATCACAATCCAATCAACCAATCACAGCTGGAAAGTGATAGGTTATGTATATAATATGATGGACTGAAAGTGGAAAGTTCCTGGCCTTTCCAAGCTTTCAGGTCCTGCTTTCCAATATGCTATGTGTACTGGTTAATTTAATATCCCTCTAGAATTCCACACTGATTGCTGGTATCCATGATACTTTGCTTGTCTACTTATAGGACACAAAAATGAATTTGAGGGAGAGTCTAAAAAACTCTTTGCTTTGCCACTATGGTGTGAGACTGTGAGCTGTATTGGAATACAACACAGCTTTGAATTAGAACACTAATGAATATTGAACACTGCTTAATTACGCTTTTAATTAACAACTATTAAGCTTTTAATTAAGCAAATTTTAATTTTTGTACATAGCTTAGAACGATCTGTGTGTGTCCAATTCAAGTTGTGATGGAATTGGTTTTCATGTGTCTGAATCCATTTCTCAACTTAATCATCTATTAATTTATTTACCACTTGAAATCAGCGAATACAAGTACCGTATACTTAAAGGATTCCTAATATATTCACAGACATATTTAAAAGTCTCAAACCATAATATTCTTCCTATACAAACAGTTATTCACTATTTGGTAGAGCAAGGTCAACTGTCAAATTTGACACATTTTTCGATGATCTCACTGGGTAGCGTGCATTGTCTCTCTTTGGATCTCAATATTTTCCCGCTAGATGGCCAAGACCTAGTGTTTGGCTTTAGTTCAACACGCAAACGTATGACCTCACCATTTCAACCATCAACGAACGCATGGAACTAAAACAAAGCTTAATATAAAGGAAAAACTAGAGAGGTGACGGAATTACCTACGATGTCGGCATACGTATGACCTCACCATTTCAACCATCAACGAACGCATGGAACTAAAACAAAGCTTAATATAAAGGAAAAACTAGAGAGGTGACGGAATTAGCCTTGATGTCGGAATATACCGCATTTACCCTAGTTTGTGTAGAAAGAATATTATGGTTTGAGACTTTTGAGTACATCTGTAAATATATTAGGAATCCTATCAGTATACTTGTATTTGACACACACAGCTTGTTCCAAGCTGTATGCAAAAATTAAAAGTTTCTTAATTAAAAGCTTAATAGCTCTTAATTAAAAGCCTAATTAAGTACAAGTAGTGTTCACTGTTCAATATTCAATAGCGTTCTAATTGCAAGCTGTCGTATTCCAATACAGCTCACACAGCGATTGGAATTTGAACACGAGAGTGTTGGCATTACAAATTAGTAGAGTTTGAAGCGCGGCCAGAATTAGTCTCACGAAATGCCGAATTTACTGTCAACCGGGGCTACTCGGGACTGGCAGGGCTACTCGGGACAGTCCTCCGACACGGCGTAAAATTGTTATAGTAGCAAAACTAATTGGAATATTGCAAAACTAAATATAGTGGTATAAACATCAACATTTTTCCTATCTATGTAGTACAGCAATCCCTTGATTAACGCGGTTAATAAATCCCCGAGTTTTACCGTGTTAAGCAAAACCGCGCTAATCAAACTTAAGAATATATGGGAATAATTATAATGAATCCTTCAAAATAGCAAAGGAAAGGAAAATTATGTAGTTTGATAAAAGTGAGCAGTAGATATGGCAGCGATCTTGACCAGTTGAAGGCTAATAGGCTAATTGCAACATAAAAAATAACACTTCAAAAAGACAAAAAATCTGAAAAAATAAAAAAAATTGAATAAATAAAAAAATAATAATAAAAAAATCAAATAAATTATTGATTTTTTATTTTTTTTTATTAAAAAAAAATCAAAAAAATCACCAACCCTGATTCTGACACTTCTTAACTTACGGTATTCCTTTATATTTAGCTTTGTCTTACTTCCACGCATGCGTAGATGGTTGAAATAGTGACGTCATACTATTGCTTGCCACATTCAGCAAAACACTAAGTCTGGCGGGAAAATGTTAAGATCCTCAGAGCAAAAGTCCAAGTCAACTAGTGAGAACATCAAAACACATGTCAAAGTTGATAGTTGACCTTGCTTTACCAAATAGTGAAACTGTTTGTGTAGGAAGAATATTATGGTTTGAGACTTTTAAAAAATATATTAGGAATCCTTTAAGTATACTTGTATTTGCTGATTTTAAGTGGTAAATAAATTAATAGATGATTAAGTTAAGAGACGGATTTAGACACATAAAAATTAATTCTGACACAGCTTGGAATTGGATACACACAGCTCGTTCTGAGCTGTGTTCAATCTGCATTAGTACATCTGTTAACAAACTCAGCAGGATGTTTAGGCTGCTAAAAATCGCCACTAATTCTACAAGCTTATAATAATAATTTAATTCTAACTGAACTCTGTTGCACGATCCGGGAAACGAAACTTAAAGAAAGTTCCGAGCAGTAAGCAATGACTGAATGAGTGACAAGCATCAGTTTAATGCCAGATGTACAAACTACAGCTTGAGCAGCAGCTACTAGCCCTGGCAGTGAGGCTGGCACAATGTTCAAACCCATCATAGAGCTTGGGAAACAAATCTTACATGAACGCAACCAATGTTCTTCTTGCAGTAAAAATATGACTTGGAGCAAAAAAAGGCCATTTCTCAGAGTGGCAAGAAATTTCTTTTTGTGGCTTGCACAGTAGATTGTTGTAGGTCTGTAGGTATATTGTTGACTTCTAAAAAAGACTTAATATCTTAACCTTCTTGGCCTTATGATGTTTTAAAAATCGTGTCAGAAGTCACCATGAAAGAGACAAAAAGTGTTCAAGCTTGTAGTAATTTTCACCCGTTTTAGGGCTTTTGCCCTAAATTTTTCTCTCAAAAGGAGAGAAAAAAGTCCATTTTCCAAAATTACCCATGAAAGAATAGTTTTCACCTATAGTTTTTTAATTTGCTTAATGAGGCAGATTGTTTTTTTTTTTTGGATTCTTATATGGAATATATCTATAGTTCTAGCAGCCACTAGCTCTTTCCCTCCATTTTCACAGGCAGGTAATTTCTGCTAGTTTAATTACCTCCTATCCTATTGCTAATAAAAGTGCTTGATTAGGCCAAAGATTCAAATGTAACAAAAGTTTTCACTTTGGAGCTGTGAAATTTCATTCATAACTAATAAAATTCCAATCCATTGATCACTATGCCCCATTCTAATATTGGAAATTTCCTAATACTAAAAATTTGCACCTCTATAAGGAGACATTTTTTAGAACTTGGTAATCATGTGCTACATATAGCTTGATTAGCATGTGCTTTTGTTGATAATTAGACAGATGATTTGACTTTTGGGAATCCCACAGCCTTTAAAATTGCAGGAAAGCTTTGGTTATGGCTTGGAAAGAAGACATTCCTGACATTGAATACTGCAACTGTCTGAGCTGAATTTAGCTCATTCCAGCCATTTTTGATCTTGTTTTACAATATTTTGTACTGATAAAGAGATCTTTACACGAGCCATCTTCCTTGAAAAACACCAAAAATTCTCATCTTATATGTAGTGAAAATTCAGATTTTTTATCATTTTCATAAGTTAATTCAATGGAAGCTAAAATTAATTTGATGTCTATACTCAACAGTATTCCAGCTTATACTATTTCCACTATACTTGATGTCTAAAAGAGGATTTGCAATCACAACCCATTCACCTATGTCCTATTTTTTCCAGTATTTGTGTCATCACTGCAGATTAAAATAACGATGGGAAAAAATAAGAAAATCAGAGATGAGGCTGGGCAAGCTCCTGACAGTGATGGTGAGGAGGCTGGGGGGAGTGAACCTGTGACCAATGCTTGGAATATGCCTGTGCCTAAATTTAAGAAGGGTGACATGAGGCATGGGCTTGTTGAGATGACTTCATTTTCTGTAAATTTTCCTGAATACCGTGAAGCTTACTTGAAGAAATCTCTTCCCATCCTGGAAAAAATTATGAAAGTAAGTTGTACTTACTATAACAAGTACTGTAGATATTGTACGTTTGGTTTTATATAATTAATATACAAATGTGTATTTATATATTTTAAACATAGCTTTCAATACTATTTGTTTGCATTAAAGCATACTGATAACTAAAAATGAACTTTTTCAATGGAGACTATACAGTAACTCAATATAGTATAGTAGTAGTAAATATAGATTATAGCAACTTAAAGAAAAATTTAATTGAATTTCAACTTAGTGTTTTATTTGGCATTAACTGTTCTATTGTGTGAAATCTCGTCATCACTTTTGTGTACATCACATCACAATACTTTTGTTAATCATCATTTAAATCTTATTATTTATTATCATATTATTTAATCATCTAAATCTTATTATTTGCAGGAACACAATATTAAAATTGTGCTGGACTGCCCCAAAGGCCAGCTGACTGTGTCAACGACCAAGGACACATGGGATCCATATGCAATAATGCTCGCAAGAGATTTAATAAAACTCATCAGCCGCCATGTCACTATTGAAAAAGCTGTTAAAGTATTTGATGAAGGAGTAACATCAGAAATTTTAAGGGTGAGATCTTTTGTTAGCCACTTGTGGATTTTGAAGCTTGAACAGATAATTTTCTGAAGGAAACTGCTACACATTGAGGAATAAAACAAAATTCAAACCTATCAAGTTGGCACACCACAAATCATATTAGTTTCCATGGCACCTTGCTCACTACGTTTAGGGTGTCGCACCGCAGATATTAAACCAAATTTATGGCTTTTGGTTAGCAAGGGGGCAAGAGGAAAGACCAAATGGTTGTCTGAATTTTTTATCCCCTGAAATATTGAAATGGAATTGCCACTTTCAAACGCATATCTACCAAGTGACGAGGTAGCATCCATCTACTTTTTGTAAAAAAACGTTTGAGTTGATTTACCATGTGGTGCATAAGGTAGTAGCTTACTATTCAATCATTCCTTCCTTTTTCTACTCTTTTTTAGCTTACTCTGCCATTTATCAAAATATGATGTAACAACTTGAAAATTTGGTTAGTATATTTCAATGTCTAATTTTTTGCATTTATAAAGATCATATTTTTTTCTTTTATGCATTTTTATCTTTATATTATTGATAAATTCTGAAGTATACATATATATTATTTTACTTGCAGATTAAAGGCATGTGTAGAGATAAAGAAATATTTGTGAAGCGCCGCAATCGCCTTCTAGGACGCGACAACAACACTCTTCTAGCTCTTGAGAAGCTCACGGACTGCACAATAACGGTGCAGGGCGGCACTGTGGCAATCATTGGGCCCTACAAGGGCGTGCTGAAGGTGAGTCGTCTTACCTTCAGATAAATAGCTTACCAAGAGTGTCGTCAATCTCCATTAGAACCAAAACTTTAAACTGAACTTTGTTGAAGTCTAGGTTTTAGGCCTTGTGAAGATGATAACACGAGTTTAGTGAAAGCATTCTGAAACTAAGTCATCCTTTTCTTTTGGCACACTGCGGGGTCCTCGTAAGTATGAAAATGATATATATAATGTTGGGTGTTTACTATTAGGATATGATAGAACATTTCCTAACTCAATTTCAGTTTACAGGATTGTGCTGTTCTCCACGTCAGTTTTAAATTTTGATTTTATAATGAACAAATTTTTTGTGCAAGGTTTGATTGAAATGAAAACTCGTGTGGCCTAGAGTTCTTTCTTGCGCAATCAAAATGGCAATTTATTCTCTGAATTTGTGAGCAAAATCTTATATCTTCCTAAGGTGATGAGCGTTGTAAAGGACTGCATGAGCAACGTGCACCCACTGCACCTACTCAACTCCCTGCACCTGCAGAAAGCCTTCAGCGAAGACCCCAGCTTGAAGGTGAGACCTTCTGACAACACCAACGCTAGTCCAGTGAAAATTCTTTCTGGCGGCCAATCAAGTCTTGTTAATGTCTCATTATCAGGATGAAATTATTAAAATCTGCTCATTATCTGGATGAAATTATTAAATTATGCTCATTATCTGGATGAAATTGGAAAAGCATAAAAAATTTACGGTGTTAGGTAGTAAATAGATGTTTTAGTTAGTATGTAGTTAGTTAGTAAAAAATATTAGTTAGTAAAATGTTTTAGGTAGTAAATAGATTTTACATTGACGTTGTGCAGCTGTTGGAAATTACAATTCACGACCGTCGCTCTAAAATCAACCCAGTTTCCGAGTGAACATCTAATTTGTATTTCACGTAAAGTTTTGACTTGCTCTGCATTTGACGCTGTAAAATAGGAGTGATTGTCAATAATTGACTATCGAGTCGCACAAAACTAATTGTTTGCTATTCGTGTGCTCGCTTGTAATAGGCATGTACTTGTGTGGCCTTGGCTAAAATTATGGCCCAAAATTTATTGGTCCTTGTAGTTGGAGTTCTTAAACCTTCAGGATAATTATTTTCATTATCTTTAATATTATTTGTTTTTAAGTTGATTGAAATTTTTTTCTCTCTGCATCCTCATGGAAAGTTGAAAATTTAATATCTCGGATATGACTAGTATTTATACATATTTTATTTTTTTTTCTTCAGGACGAGGACTGGTCTAATTTGCTTCCAGTCTACAAAGCCAAAACTGCACAGAAGAAAAAGAAACCCAAGAAACAAAAGAAACCGTACAATCCCCTCCCACCTCCGCAAATTGAAAGCAAGATGGACAAAGAGATGGAAGAGGGATCTTATTTCCTTACCATGATAGAAAAGAAGAAAAAACAAACGCAGCAAGACAAGGAACAGCAGCGCGCAAGATCTGATAAGATACAGGCTGAGAAGCGGGCGCTGCCTTACGTGCCTCCTGAGGAGCCTGTGGTCAAGAAGGCAAAGGTCAGCAAGAGTGATGACGTTGACATTGAAAAGCTCAAGAAGAAAGTTAGTGCACAGAAGAAGAAACTTAAGAAAAAGAAGAGCAAGAACGAATCTACGGCTCTCGATTAAATGTGTGTATCGTTTGTTTTTATTATTCATGTCCTCGCATCGATCAGGATCTAATGGATTTTCTGTTGTTAGCTTGAGTTCATTGACAGGTATGCTAACATGCTAAATTTGCGGTAGACACAGAAAAATTGACTTAACCCTAAGATTGCTAATTGGAATAATCTGGAAACAAGAGCAGGCTTGCTTCAATGGTAGTTCAGGTTTACCCACTGAAGTTACGTGTCTGAAAACAATCATTGGCATGAATGAATGAGGTGAAAATTGAGCAATCAATAACGAAGTCATCGGCCTTTATTTTCAGGAAAACAAGATAATCGTAATAAGTCAGTTTTCTCTCACAAATGAAAAAAATGTCGACTATCTCGCAGAGAAGTCAAGTAAAAGTCAGATTACAGGAACGCTTTCTATAACAATAATAAACACAGTAACTAAATGCCCATTGATCACTTGATAGTTGCATTAGGATGTAGTGACTTGAGGGAGGTGCGTCTTGATAGCCCCAGCCGCAGTCCGAGGCCGGGTGTGGAGTTCACTGATAAATTATTTGTAGGGGTATTTTTTGAAGCAATGGCGGGGCTTCTGAAGGGAGCTCGTGCGAGGCCAAGTTTGGGAGACGAGCTACTTCGAAATGGTAAATTTCTGGAGGATGCAGCAACAACTGAACTATTATTTCTGCTGGCAGGACAAGACTCGATGACATCTTCTCGTACTGATGACTTTTCATTAGCATCACAAAGTTTAGTAGGAACAGAAACACGGGACGCCTTAAAAGAAGCTATTTTAGAAGGTTTAGTTCTGGAGTCACAGTTCACAGTGCTGGAAACATCCTGATTTTTTGATATCGGAAAATGTTGAGTACGTGGGCTGCTTGACGTCGCTTGAACATGATCTGGATTTTTTGTCGATTTTGCTACAATGTTAGAATTAGTATTGTTATTTACGGTATTTTCAGAAGATTTTACCAATTCCTTAGGATTTTGTATTCTAGCAACGCTGTTTCGCTTCTTACTCTTGGGACTTTCTTCAAAATCGCTGGGATCTGAACAGTTGGCGTCGTCCTCGCTTGATTCGGCCCATGAGTCCTCTGATTCACTATCGATGTCTGCAATGTAACAAGTTTAAAAATAAAATCCTACAATCACAGCAAAAATAAGTGTCTAAGAATAAATAAAATTTTCTGCGGCATTGTTAATGTTAAGTTTACCATGGAAAAATTCGGCACGCGGAATTTGATTTGTCCAAATGGTTAACACTCTACGGTTGCAAAACAATAGTAAGAGTACAATTTAGGTCAGCAAATTTCTGCAATGCTAGACATGACATACTAAAAATATGGCGTTGAACTACTTCTAGTATTTCAGCACGTTGGTAGTAAGCAATAATTAGCCATAAAATGGATTGAAGTTTCCGTGTTTCCCACCTGGTTTGAAGGTTTCCCTTCTGCAAGCCCTCTTGCTCCTGGTGGGTGCTGAAGCTTGGACCTCTCCATTTAGCGCCTCCACCCCTCTCTTGTGGCTGCTTCTCGCTGTCGCGGAACTTTTCTTGTTACTCTTCTTTGTGGCTGCAGGGCTAAAATGATCGTCGGAGCTCACAGAGATGCCAACCGTCGGCTTTTTTGGGACACTTTTCCTGGTGATGTTGTTTTCAGGCGTAGCTGAAACTTCACTCTGCTCTTTATTTGTTGCGGCATCACCTTTCACAGATTCTCCGACAATTGGATCAAGCGATTGTGCACTAGGCTGTTCATTACTTTCATTTACACCAGATTTCTGTTTGCTGGTCTCCCTTATTTTATACGGTGATGAAGCACCGACGTGGCTAGCTTTAGTTTCATCGTCACCATGTGGGGCGGAATAAGCTTGGCTCTTGTCTGCATTGTAGTCGGAAATAAGCGCCGGCTTACTGGACATCTCCACGGCTGCCGCCAAGTCGCGCTGCAACCAAGTAGCCAAATTATTTAATTATTGTGTTGTAAAAAAATATAAAAGGCTTCCAACAGGCTATAGCCAAAAAATTGCATATTTATGATGTATACTCAAATAATTCTGCATTTTAAACGTTTTATATCACATATTGATAAGAGAATGACGATCTAGCGGAGCTGAGTCATCTTCTTTAAATAATGAAATGGTAGGTTACTGACCAAATGGTTTTTCATCACCTGAAATATTGTAAGGAATTGCCACTTTCAAACGCAAGGTGATGAGGTACAGGTAGCGTCCCTCCAATTTTCCATAGATTTGTACCAGCCACCAAACCAGCAACATCTATAACCTTACCTGCGACCTGCGCTTGGCCTACGCATCTTCAGCGACTACAGCCTCCTAAACCTTGCTAAGACTAGGTATTATTCTACTGTCTTATTATTTTCTGAGAATGTCGTTCTAGCAGGATTTATTTAATATTTTATTAAGGCTCATCATAGTTTATATTTGAGAATAACCTTCATTTTGGGACGTTTAAGGTTGAGTTAAATTAACTTAGGTCATTTGCTTAGGGTCTAGTATAGCTGATAGTTGGAGGTTTAGGGTTTCATTTCTTCTCTAACTTTTTCCTGAGCATTTGAACCTCTTACTGTCCTGCCTGTCCTTTCTGGTGAGCCTTCCTCCTACTTTACACTCCTCTTTTGTTAGGGTTTCTTTCCTTGATTAAGGGGAGAGTCTCTGTCAAAAATCGAAAATTTTGGCTAAATTTCGATTTTCAAAACGCACTGAATAGATTTAGGTGGGTGATAATTGTATGATTTATGCTGCTAGTTATTGCCATTATTGTAAGAAAGTACGTTGGCTCCACAGATGCTGTAACAGTATTCTTACTGTACAGTATCTCGCCTACGCTAGTTCCCAAGATGCTTATTGCAGGTCCTGACCCTTACCTGGTTTTTTTCTCATCCAACAATACCTTCTGATAAAGATCCCTGATTTCTATTTCCAGTCGTCCGTAATTCTCAAGCCTAGACCAAATTATTACCTACTTTCAGACGAAGAACAATTTAATCTTGCGACGGAACCCTGCTTTCTCGTGATAACCAAACTTTTGAAGATTATTACTTTCGTATGAATACTTACATTGGATTCCCAATGGCCTGTGATCTTTACTACATTCTGGACCAAAACCCACCGGCATTATTGACTTATCAAGTTGCCATATCCCACATTGAAGCCTGAATGTTAACCAAGCTTCAGGAGTCTTTATCACGAGTCAAGAACTGGACACGAAAATTAAAGCTAACACAATTTAATGCATAACTAGTGTTTGCCCTCGTTAGTAGCTCATACCTCAACCAAAGTCTGTCTTCATCTAAGGTACATATTTGTCGGTCATGATATTTTCCGAGCTTGATTTTATAACTCTTCTAACAAAAATAGCCTGACAGAGAACTAATATAAGCAACCTACACTAGACTTGCCTCAAACAGCCTGTCCCGCACCGACAACCGCCCAGCTGTAGATCCCGACGAGCTCTCGAGCGCGTCTCCATCGCTTGATGCGACTTCATAATCACCTGCAAAATTAGTCCGATTGCAGCATACAAAATTACAAATTAATTTTTATGACTACAATTCATTTATTCTAAATTTTAAATTAACCAATTGATAAAAATAAAAAAATTTCACATTCATTTTTAGGGTTAAAAAATCAATAAAATTCAATTCGATAGCTGCTTCTGCCATCTCAAGACCAGTATAGTACCTATAGTACCATCTCCGGCATTGAAGAATAGGTCTGGATAGGCCTGTCGCCGATTCTTGTACTTTTCTTGACTGCTTCGAAGATCTGAATGACTGGCTTCTTGATCAAATCTTTTCAACGAATGGCAGGTTTAAAATCGTTTATTGATTTCAGTAGTTACGCAGGATACGAGGCATTTCAATACTAAAACATATGCTCATGCATGGCCTTGTCTAGTCTGTTCTTTAACGCGTTCATACTCGGAGCCTCCAGGGTATAGATAAATTATTTTACGGTTACCAGTAAAAAGTTTTGAAGTTAAACTATAGTAATCAAGAAAAAATAAAGTAAGTTTCTAGTCGTTCTTGTCAGCCTTCTTGAATGCGCACAGCATTCGTAAGCAACAACATGCTGGTCAACAACAACTTCTCTAGCCTTAACCTGGTAATTCTCTTCAACTGGAATTAAGAGGCTAAGATGGTTAAGGAGAAAGGATGATTTTCAACAGGCAGAATAATGGCCTTTAGTGGGGCAAAGATAATAGGACATGGGCCATTTTGTGGCGCTTTTGCGGGAGATGCAAGATTAACGACCCTGTAAGATTAGCCCCCATGGATACATGACAACCCTTATTCACTTAACGATTTCAGCCTCTGTTAGTTGTGGGGGTTAGCAAACCCCAGAAAACTTTATTAGTTCCCAGCAATGTTTGAGAATGAAATATTCACGAGTATTTGGATAATCGTGAAAAGGTTGTGTATATAATAACTTTTCTAATGACGGCAACTGGGCTGAATAAACCAAAAATCAGTTAAAGTAATGAATAAAATCGACAAAAAATACGCAGGAGCGTGGCTTAAAAGCTTGGTAGAACGAAAAAACTAACTTCCAATACTCCTACTGTAGGGCATCATACATCGTTTCAGCATAACTGCCTCTTCCTGCCCTCCGGGATATTTAGAATCTTGTCACTATGACAGGTGACTGTCTTATCTTGGGTGACTTTAATTAAATTATCGCCCATCATCCCTCTTGGTTTTCCTTCACAGAAGATCAGAGAGCTGCAGCGAGAGGGATCACCATTGATGGTCTCATCTCTAGCTCTCCCTTTCACAATCCTCAATAAAGACTAGCAGACCTGCCTTTCCTTCTATGTCCCCCGCCCTACTCACCAGATCTTGTCATCATTAACGCACATCTGCTCCTAACATAACATGGGCTCCTCAAGTTGCCCTGAACTACGGCCACTTACGCATTTTGATCCATTTAAATCCTGTCAACAATTCCCCTGCTCCCTAGTATGCCCGCTCATCTGTCAACTACAAGAAAGCTGACTGGCCCGCCTTCACGGCCACAGTCGAGGCAGCGCTTGAGGCGGTCCCTCCCCCCGCCTCGTGTGGAGGTGAGTCGACTCTGATCTTGGCTGCAGCGGCTAAGCAGCACATCACGGCCGGATTATGGAAGGACTCCTCAGTCAAACCTGGCACCCAGTTGCTTATCGAGCAGCGAGATGGCATCACAGCGCGTAACTCCAACGATGCCTGGCTTTGAGAACTCAACTTGGAAATTTCTGTTTTATACAGGCCTATGCCAGATAGGCCTTGCGGACGCATCTCCCGCCATGCAACAGACACGCCCACCAGTCAAAAACTAGGAATCTTCTGCGCTTCCGAGCCGGAGAACGCTCCTGCCCACCCACCTCCCTCTCCTCACAGCACATGATATCCATCGCCTTTTGTAAACTTTTCACTTCCACTGTTCCCCACACCCGAAGCCCCTACATCCGCCACCTTATGCATAGGATTTGGGCAGAACATCCCCTCGACAGGGATTTTCCTCATGACTACTGACATGGTGCAGCTCGTCATCAGAGCTGACAGCAATTTACCCGCCGAAGTCGAGACGGCCTGACTGTCCTCCACTTCTGGCGCCTTGGCACCCGTGACATTCAATTCCTTAGCCACCTCTCTAACATCTCAGTTTCCATGGCCTCTATTCCAGCTATCTGGAAAAGTTCAATAATTATCCCTCATCTCCCTCCTCTGTCCTGCAACCAAGTTCCTGGAACGACTCCCACTCCTGCACATCTCGGCACCCCCTACCACCATCTCCTCACAACATAGCTTCAAACCGAGACCCTCTACTGTCACTGCCCTCCTCAAGCTTGAGCACCAGATTCTCTCCTACAAACAATTCAACGTTTGAAATGCTCTCTGTCAATAAGCTTACAAATTAGGAGGAAAGTACCTCTATAATAGAAATAGGTACTTCCCTCTTAATTTGTAAGCTGAAATGCAATAATCCATTGCATTTCAATAGTCCTAACCTTTGCAAATCCATTATTGAAATGCAATAGACTATTGCATTTCAGCATTAGCTAATGTAGCCACATTTTACCCTGCAACAATATTATTGAAAATTTCACTTACTAGCCGAGTCAATGTTCCGGCTCATCTTCTTCAGCTTGTTTGTAAAGCAGACAGACGTCTTGTTGTCATTCTTGAGGCTTGCAGGGCTCTCTTTGTCCAGGTTGTAACAGCCTCTTACAACAAACCCAGAGAACTCATCCTCTGCAACACAAAATGCAGGGGATAAACAAGGAACAATATTCAAATGAATAATTAATTGAAAGTTAATCCATACAAATATTTGAGGACCTCATAGACTAATTTTATCAGGATGCTTTGCTGACAGTGATGCTTAGATAACCTAAGTTTCTAAATTACATTACAAACTACTTTTTACTTAAAAACTGAATACTTTACTAATTTCTAAAAGAACACTTTTGAGGTATAAATTTTTTCTTAACCAAGCAAAGTAGAAGATTAAAATGAATGCAAACTACTAAAAACATGCCATAAACTGCAGACTGAAAATAAACCACTGCCCTATATCCTGACTCAGCTCCTTACCCTCATTTCAAACAATACTAATCCCTACAAGCTTGTTTGGAGTTGACAACGCATTTTTGAAAGCATGGGCTTCAAAACGATAACTAATGTAATCCAGTTCCTTGATGACAAATGTAATAACATTTATACGATGCTAAGGCTAAGCACCATTCACTCAGGCTAAGCACCATTCATTCTTCTCAGAACCAAACATATTCATCCAAGTAATACATGATAATCCAATCCATTCTCTGAAGTTTGTTACATAGATACAGCTTGCCTCATTTTTGCCTTAGATTCCATGAAAATTTTGAAATATCGTAATTTTATTAGGGTTGCCAGATTACTCAATCAAGGACATGCATGATAGACTTAAAGGCTGGCATTGTAAAGGATCCCACGGTCTTTATGGTTTTCACTCTGATAACTTTTTTGTGCACTGATGAATATAAAAAAGCATTATTTTCTGTGTTCAAGTTTTTCCATCAAAAGGAATAATTTTGTTTCCATTACATGACAGCTGATAATATGAATGTTTCTTGCTAGCACTCCACATTAGTGCACACTGAGGGTCTGCTCCAAACGTAAGGCAACAGCAAGAAAAACCTCAATAAATATCCATCTTAAATGAGAAATGATTGAAGAGCCTCAGCAAGCACATTATAGCTCATGTATGAAAGTTATTTGTTTAACTCACCATCACTGATGTCTGTATCTTGATCAAGAGCAGCATAGTTGACCACTTTCCTGATCCTGAAGAAATAAATGGACCTTTTATTAATTGATATTTACAGCACAGCAGAAAATATCAATAATAAATTACTAGGTGATACATATAAACACTTACAGTACCACAAGACAAAATCAATGCCACAACATTGAGAGACATATCATTAGATTCATAAAGACCATATCTAAAATCCGTCTGATCATTTTTTCCAATTTCCCTGCCCCTTGACCCCCTTTTTCAAATATATAATCCAAACTTGAACATAAAATAAAATTTTTGGATGGTTTCTAGAGATTTTCTCTGCAAATGGAATAGTATATCTCAATGCTGTAGCTTGAAAATCATAGAAGGTGATAGATTTTCAAGATGGCACATTTTTGAAATTTTCATTGTTCAGGTGAACCAAATAAGTAAAATTTATTGAAAAAAGGAGGATATGCAAAAAAATGGCTTGATATTGTAGCCCATCTTTCCCATTGCCAATTAGTTGCACTTAGGGTACCAGCACACATATTTAGTTAAATCATAATAAATCATATTAATAATTTAGCTAAATCATAATAAATCATAGTTTTGGTGTATTACTTTTCATCCTATGTTGCCCAGTGCACAATCTATCTATGACATTCTATGCAAAATTTTTTGATGACCAATGAAGCAATGATGCATTAATTTTTTGTTTTGTTTAAGTGAATTTTTTTTTTTTTTTCGCTAAGCAAGGTAAATGTAATCAACATTGTTTTGTTGTTAAATGTTTTTTTTTTTTTTGTTAACTGGAGCCTTTGCTAACCTAAGTTCTACTGTAAATGCATTTTTAGAGCCTTAGCCAGAAGCCTTAGGTGTCCCTTATTACCCTGTCTTGCGGAAATGGCACCATTTTTAGGGGAGATGAGCTCATTGAGCTGTGCAAACAGCTTTTAAGGCAAATACTGTCAATCACCTTTTTAACACGTTGGCCGCGATTGCTGATTTGGCCCGAATACCGAACGGGCGATAGGTTCAAACTTGTATATCTTCAGTTACCCGGCAGATAGCAAGGAGAAAAGTTGTGTGCAGCTCTGCAGGGATATGTTCTGTCATTGTGTCACGTAAAATTCGTGGCCGCATTTGGTGCACATCGCTCAGGGTTGAAATTCGTCATTATTCCTGGCGATGTGTACCAAATGAAGCCATGCCTGTTGTGGCTCATATTGGCTCACGCCGCCTATCGTAATCACTTCTAATACTATGGGCGGTGTGTACCAAGCAAAGACATGCATCTATGGCTCATATTGCCAAAAAAAACGCCTAAAGTTATCACTTTTATTACTGTGAGTGATGCGCGCAAGAAATCTACATTAGTTTTGAGTCATAATTGCACACATTATGACTACCGGTATGACGGCGGTATCTCTTAGCTTTTTGTGAACGATGTATATTACGCATGGAAATTACTATGGAAAGAGATTGGTGTCCAGGTTTTCATAATCCTGAATAAAATTGAGGGTATTTACATTGTTAGTTCAGTTATATTTACCTTATAGAGATCATTCTTTGTATATATTGTCTTGAGCTTCTGTTACAAACTTACAAGCAGCATCTCAGAGAAAGAGTAAAATCAGGATGTATATCTCAAATTAACGAGTGGGAAAGAGAACAGCCCACTTTCATTGAACCAACTAGAACTAAAGTCAGGATGCGCTGCCATGAATGCTACAACATGCTCTCATCAAATGAGGGAAGTGCCGTAGCAAAGGTGAAACTCAAAGGATAAAAAAATACATTGGTGACTGTGAAGGAAAGTCATACATGTGCGATAATTGTTTTTCAATCAGGTATGAAATATAATGATGTTGGCAACACCCAATTTTGTAGTTTCAGATCAATAAGAAAATATTTTATTTTCTTTTCATGCAAAGATAGATATATATATTGCTTTCATCAATGGACACAAATTTCGTAATTTTTGTATTACTTGCATTTGAAAATAAAACTATTTCTCTAAGCATTAGTTGACTTCAAAGCATTCAGTACACATCGCGATTCTGAGAAGTACAGCGTGTACATATATGGCGCACATTGCGGCCAACGTGTTAAGCTAACACCTGTAGGCTTTATGCAACTTTTATGCAAGTAAAATTTTTTATACAATAATTTTTTTTCGCTATAGACTTTGGCAAAGCCACAAAGGTACTCTTCCAAAATCTCACTTTTCACACTTTTTTTGAGGTAGTAAATGTATGATTTCTTAACTTGCTTTATGCTACAATCTACAAAAAATTCTACATAGATAGGAAAAATTTAAACTTTATGTTACTATTTTTAGTTTTGCAATATTTCAATTAGTTTAGCTGCTACAACATTTCTACAAAATGTTGGAGGACTGTTCCTTAGGCTTGTTACCCTGCCTCTGCCTGTCCCTCTCCCTTATTAATTACCTGTTTGAAAATTGAATTATTTGAACTTGAAGGTACATCAACTCATCAAGTAATAAGTTTTTGATACTGATATAATTTATTTCAAATTGAGTGCATTCTGACATGGATTTGGATCTGCAAGTGCAAGATTTTATTCATTAGAAGGAAAATTCCAATCTAAAGTGCATTTGCTTAAGTTGCTTTCCTTACTGTTATTGACTTAGTGAAGCAAGACATGACACTTGATGTCGATGACACTATGACAGTCTTACAGACCAGACGTGACTCACGTGTCAGTTAGTCAGTGCAGGGCACTGACCACTGAGGGCTCAGCAATGGAGGGCAGCAGGGTTGATGCATGGGCTAATTAATATTTACTTATAATCTGAGCCTATTTTTCACATAAAAAAACAAATCTTATAATTGCCTATTGTAACTTTTATGAAACAATACTTACCTTTTGCCCAGGAATGATGTCATGTTAGTAAATTATGACAGGACTCACAGGAGAATTCTGTTTTGTGTGACAACTTGAGTACTTGACAGTTGACAAGAAAGTAAAAACAGCTGTGCTGCTGCTGCTGTGCGGGCCTGTGCCTACAATAAAATGAATAGACCAGATATATTTCAATGTGTTATCACTTAGCTATCATTATTATTGAACATGGTTGAAAACTTGAACTACCTAATAAGTACCTATACTAGTTCAACCATGCAAATGCATGAGGATGACTGATGACGATGAGTATTGAACTTCTTTTTGTTTTACCGGTAGTCCGGTACCGGTACGGCAACGGTGATACAACGTACAAACATTTAAACTTTTTTAAATCTAGGTAGATGGTTGGAGGAGCCCAGACACATACGCAAGTTAGCTATTGAATTATGTTAGAGACTGTTCACTGTTGACTATGGCAATCGGCGAAGAACCCAACGACCGATGCGAAATAATTGCGAATGACGGTCACCTATTCGACAGAGATTTAAATCAGCCGCCAGATTTCTTCATTGTGATCATTCTCGTCCGGCAAACATCTGTCACGGTGTCACCCCTCCGCAAAGATAAATATCTATTATGTCATCGTAATATATGCCGACATGTCTTTTCAATGAAATTGAAAAAGATTTCAGGATGATATGTTAGATATTTTTCCCTGTATCTCGCATACATATTATGTTTATTGGTCGCGATAGGTTAGCCCAGTAGTTACAGTTCAGCAGTTTGCATGAGATGCGAGATTAACGACCCTGTAAGATTAGCCCTATGGATACATGACAAGCCTTATTCACTTTACGATTTCAGCCTCTGTTAGTTGTGGGGGTTAGCAAACCCCGGAAAGCTGAACTTCGGCGCAGCACCGACGAAGGTATTAGCGCCCCCTGGGGAAGTTAGATATGGATTCGATCCCAGCTTTCTAAGATAGTTTTTGTCAGATTCCAATCTCTCTAGTAATCACTCATTCTTTGGAATCAGTGACCGGTCTTACGTTCTAATGAAAGTTGACACCGTTACTATTTCTCGACGTACCTAGTGTTGTAAAGTTTTTCTTATTAAGTTATTAGGCATCGAATAAAGTATTGCGGGACTCAAATCAGTCAAGTGTTTTTCATGGCATATAGATGGGATATACAGAAAATCTTTAATAAAACCAAATCTGCCTAAAAACAAAGACGCTTAAGCGGAATTACACCTCACGTAATGGGGCCAGAATTATCCAAATAAATGAATTCTACGAATCTCCAAAAAGGTAGTTCAAATTTCCATACAATATAAAACCAACATTTTAGGTAGTTATCAATTTTACAATCATCTTTCTGATACGAGAGATGAACTATCGACTAATAAAACGAGAACTTTCCTTTCAGATTAGCGGCAGGTTCAAAAGGAAACGGCAGGTTCAACCTTTTAAGAAAACCAAAACCCTCTTCCTAACTGAACTGTAACCACTGGGCCTGGTGGGCCACCCCCACGGCCCCACCCTACTTGGTAGATGTGATTTTGAGTGTAGGACCAAACAAAGTAAGGAAAGACCGTTAAAATGTGTGTTACTTAAACAAAATCACATATATAAATAAAACTCTTTTCACGAGGCCTATGTAAAAATAGATGAAAATATATCATCAGGGTCCAGTAACAACCGGAGCAGACTATTGGTCGTGACTCTACCCTCTTCTGCATCAATTCGCACAAAATTGTAGCTTTCCTGATTGAGAATAAGTGCCTTTTATACCCATACCACTAAATTGAACTTTTCACAAATGTAAATAACCGCCTTACACTTCCTTTTACGAAATCGTCACTTTCACTACTGCAAATCAGCTATTTCTTTTCAACTTGGATCCACACCAAGCGCGAGAAGTATTTGAATTTTACAACTGCCTAGCGACTGTGAAGATATCAAGCTTGTGGGTTCAGTCAATATATTAGTCTCGCATATGCGCGTTAACTAAAAAAAGTCGATTATGTACGTTTATTTGTTCCTGTACTGTGTAATTAACCGAAAAATGACGCAAATCATTTTAGTTTTCAATTAAGGTCGAGAAAATTTTTAATTTAACTACTGCGCAGTGACAACGATAATTTTATGTACGGGCGTTACGTTGTTTCTGAATCAGTTCAACAACTGACAATGTTACGTGTTTACGTATTATTATCAAATTCAAATATAACTACTATATTGTAAATAGTATGTCAATGTAAGGCCAGCAAGCCTTTGTCCTTCAGTTGTATACGAGATTCCACCGAATACAGTTCCCAAAATCTCTAGAATAGAATAGAATAGAATAGAAGTGTCGGCGTTGAAGAAATAGGCCAATGGCCTGTTGCCGATTCTTGAACTTTTCGTGACTTGATTCACAAGGGATCCATCCAGGTTCGGGCGCACGACAGCAACAAACAACTGCTTCATCGTTTCTAAATCTAGGAACTCGAAAGAGCGTCTGATCAGTCCAAGTCGTTGATTGGCTTTATCTATTTAGATGGGCAGAGTCTAGTCTCTGCCCATCTTCCTACTTAGCTGGGACTCTGACGTCATACGACCAGCGAACGTAACGGACGAACCTCGGAAATTGTTAATTTTGAACTTGCGTAGTAGCTGTACTAACCTTAGGTTTGTGGATTAAATCGCTTCTGCATAAGTTAATTAACCGATTACTATCATAAATCAAGTAGAGCCTCCACCAAAATCTAGAATATGTCAATTTTTACACGTGCGCAAAGGCTGTAACAATTTCAGATATGTGTGAGTTTAATAGTATATCCTGTATATGAATTATTTAATTAGGCGTTAACTGTTACAAATTTCGTTCGGACTCCACCAAACAGGTTATCTAATCAGGCGGTAAGGTTCTTTGACGATGGCATACAAAAGCTGGTCCCAAGGTGCGATAAATACCTCAATATTATTGGGAATCATGTAGAAAAGTCGAGTAAATTATGGTCTTTCGAGTGGATAAATTATTTTTTGAAAAATAGTTTTTTCAATTCTATGTCAAAACGGTCTTAATTTAAGAACACGCCGTGTATTTGGTAGGTCTTATACTGAAGAATCGTGTTCTGAATATTTGCACGTTATTTTAGGTCGTACTTTCTGTTCATTCTCGAATAAAGTATTTAATTGTTGTTTTACCAAGTGTGAAATACTAATATTTAAACGCAATATTTTTACCAATGCCTCTGTTTAAAAAAAAACATTTCAATTAAAAATTGCAGGTTCAAAATCTTTCAAAATTTTTACAATTTACACCCTCAATTCTTCCCCGACACGAGTCCTCCCCTTTGAACACTAAACGCATTCCTGCTCCGCAGGATGATTTATACCGGTTAATCGTAATATTTAACCATGGGAGACGATTCAAATGCACCGAATATATGTAGATATATTATAGGTGAGTTCTAGACTCACGCTCTCCCTCCCAACGCTAGACTCATTTCCTTCCCTTAAGCGTCCAACACCTGCTTGTAATGTATGACGTTACGTGCGTGAAGGGTGAGAAGAACACGGCTGCACGGTACAGGCTTTATTGGAACCGGAATAACGAACACCAAACAAAAACGAAGTCTAAAGGAGCACGACTTCTAAAACGTACTTCTTCTTCGTGGCTAGTCATTAAGCATACAGGAATATTTATATGCTACAATGCTCGTCAGAGGACTTTGACACCTGAGGATGTGGCGCTCATAGCCCCACGTCGAAGAGAGTGAGGGGGTCGAAATCTAAAGAGCAACCGATCGATGCGCCCGCGGTACCCGCATTATGGCATGAGATTGCATGGCTACCAGAGCTCCCTTCCCCTTTTCATGAACTGCCGAGTATTTGTTAGGCACATATATCGCAGGAAATTTAGCTCGCAGCTACCCCTTTCCTAATTGTTTGTTCGTAACACGACCATTTTAAACGTGTGTTGCATTAAAATTTACTTCTGAAATAATTTAAGATATATTTTCACTCTGACTATGTGGAAATAATACCTATAGATTAAGGCGATGCACTGACTCAAATTGAGATTGAAACACTTCAAATGGCTTTGTCTTTTTAATGTAAAACTTATTACGTCTTTTTTTATAGCTCACACTACAGGACACAAGGGACATCATGACATCATATGGTTCATATTATAGCTCACAAATTAACTACAGATACAGTGCCTGACAAAACATCGCTCATCTTATAGGTCACAGTATTCACTATCTATAGGGTACAGTGAAAGACAAAAATCCTTAATTTGTAGCTTACACTGATAACTAACTACAGCATATAACGACTAACATCATATGGTTCATTTTATAGCTCACACAGACTACCAACTCCAGGATACTGTAGCAGACGTCCCACGATTGACTTCTACGACGTAGGGGTGTAGCTGATGCTAGACAACGTACGGCTGACGTCAGTGAAAGCAGGAAGTAGGAGGTACCAAATAAAGCATTTGACTCACGGCAATTGTAACGAAATGCTGAAAATTTTCAACATAAAAACCGATAAAATCAAATTATTCAAGAGAGTTATTTGATACAAATTTAAGTACTACTTCCGCTATCAACACAGATTGAATTGCTGAATTAAAATCAATGAGCACTTACTACAAAAACGCAAAAATTACTATTCAACAAACACTCTATGAGATCTTTTTATTTCATTATTTTTCTTTACAGCAAGACGGCATGCACACATTTTATTTCATTTTATTTTATCCGGCAACTTGACAAACCAAATGAAACTTTAATCCTCCATTAATCTACTCTAGGCATAAGATACAAGATAACTATGATCTGAGTATATAATTATCAAGTTATCCGTATTTTAAACACGCTGCAATTCACAATGCTATTTTAGGTTGGAATTAAAAGTAGTAAAGTAGTATAAGAAAAGCTACAATTCAAATCCACCATTCCAAGCTGACGCACTTACGAACTTCGAAATACTTACGATAAATCATAAAAATAAAAACATTTTTAATGATGGAAATACATGGAGGTAATCACCGCACATAGAAAGCGTAATTGAAGTGAATGACTTGCAATAGTTAATGGCGCTTAATTTCTCTAAATAGTTTTCGATTCAACGAAGTTTTCGCCCTATTGCATCAAGTCAACTCGTCGGCGCCAATGAAAATAAAAGAAGCGGAAAAATCTACTCCGAAGAAGCGATAGAGAAACTTTTTTTAACTTAGAAATTGAACTTTGAAATTGATGTAGAATAACTGGAACTACTAGTTGGGATGCTAGAACTAGAACGGCTAGTTGGGACGCTAAAACTAAAACGAATAGTTACCTAGAACGACTAGATGGGATGCTAAAACTAGAACGACTAGTTGAGATGCTAGAACTAGAACGACTAGTTGGGATGCTAGAACTAGAACGACTAGTTGAGATGCTTGAACTAGAACGACTAGTTGGGATGCTAGAACTAGAACGACTAGTTGAGATGCTAGAACTAGAACGACTGGTTGAGATGCTAGAACTAGAACGACTAGTTGGGATGCTAGAACTAGAACGACTAGTTGAGATGCTAGAACTAGAACGACTAGTTGGGATGCTAGAACTAGAACGACTAGTTGGGATGCTAGAACTAGAACGACTAGTTGAGATGCTAGAACTAGAACGACTAGTTGGGATGCTAGAACTAGAACGACTAGTTGGGATGCTAGAACTAGAACGACTAGTTGAGATGCTAGAACTAGAACGACTAGTTGGGATGCTAGAACTAGAACGACTAGTTGAGATGCTAGAACTAGAACGACTAGTTGAGATGCTAGAACTAGAACGACTAGTTGGGATGCTAGAACTAGAACGACTAGTTGGGATGCTAGAACTAGAACGACTAGTTGAGATGCTAGAACTAGAACGACTAGTTGGGATGCTAGAACTAGAACGACTAGTTGGGATGCTAGAACTAGAACGACTAGTTGGGATGCAATAGACTAGTTACGTGAATAGCAAGCAAGGTCCCCGGAATGACACGAAAAATAATCGATAGTGGCAAATTCAAATACTTGGTTTTTGCTTCTCCGCCTTATAGATATAAACATTTATCCTTGGTGCAACATGCACTGGTTTCAAATGTAAATGAATATTCATAACAAGTATTTTTACCAGCCTAAAGTTCTTTATTTACTTCGGACTGTTCGGTAGTCGCATGAGTGTATAACTTAAACAACGTTGGTTGCTGCAATCAAGATATCTTGATAATGTTTAACAGCGACGAGTTATTTTCATTTTCATGTCAGTAATCGTGCAATATTGAATAATCATGACTTTTAAACATAACATTTGAGAATCTTGTTTGACAGCCTTCAACAACTTTAAACGAAGAAGAATCTCTACGAACGACTATTAATTGAATACATTTTGATGTTGTCAGCTATGATACTTGCACACAAATGAATAATTTATCAATTAGTACAACACAAAACGTGGAACTCGTCTGCTTGCAAAATAAGTAGGAGTTCTTCAATATGCTTTAATCCCTATATAGCCAGCTGGAAATTAGCGTGAGCGGACACCAGCTCACACTAATTTCTAATAGTAATAAATTAATACTATTTGACGTATATCAACAATGGGAAAATTCGCGATTAAATGCAGACAATATAGATATCTAGGTTAATTCACAAATATTCACAATGATACAATTCAAGCGATATACATTGAGGAACAATTTATCTCTCTACAAACGTTTCTAAATCTTTCCACAGAAAGTATAGATTAATGACGAATTTATAAGAAAAAGCATCTTTCGCTTTACTGTATATTGAGTCATAAGCTCACAACTACTTAACGTTAACGAGGCATTAGACCCGGGAGTAGACGGTGTGTGTTTTATGAGCGGAAGACTCGACTGCAAGGAAGACTTATGATTTTCCGTCACGCCAAAATTCATGAATTCATTGTCACTATAATTAATTATGAAGTGCTTGGCCTATGTTTGGAGGGAGCGAATTTATTCATGGAAACACCCGGCGTTTAGAAATGAAATGAAAACTCCAATATACATCAATAATAACATAACATAAACATTGCGAGGGACATTTTCAAATTTGCAAAGACTTTTAATCTTTTAAAAAGATAAACGATATTAAGAATAAGTGTAAAAATCGTCATATTGATTGATAGAAAACAAGAAAAGGGCAGAAAAAAATTATACATCTGATTTTAATTCAGTGTTTTAAGTTTTTTTTTATTCTATTATACTTTCTCGAGCAGCGTTGCAAAAGAAAAGAGTAAGGAGAGCAGTCTTTCGATGTGTTGAAACATGGTTCTGATAATTTATTTTTTACGAGAGTCGCTCATTGAAAATTTGTAACCGAATGAAGGAACCATACGTGGACTAATTAATTAACGTTTTAATATTAGCCAATGTTTTAATATTAGCCCCATGTTAGCAGACGAGACTAAACCTTCAGTCATCTCAGGGATATTTATTCGACCATGTCATATTGCGACCATTATTATAGTATCAATAGAAATAAACAATCATTGCAGCAACCGCATCATGGAGGTTATTAGAAGAAAAGGATGTTACATAATATCGTTTTTGGAAAAAGTTGATTGTACTTAGAAAACCACGGGTTCTAGGGTGCCATTGAAATCAGTAAAGCAATATTCCATTTGCTTGCCGTGCGAACATTCGCTTAATGAGTCGAGGTTCATCAGAAGGGTAACTAAACCAGCCAACAGCGCAACGCAACCAAAAGCCACCACCCCCCAAGCCTGGTACTTCTCGGGGCAAAGGATGGGGCCCTCCAGCACTCTGATGTACGACAGTCCGGGGAGTATGAAGGCTAGTGGAATCGCCACCAGGATGCCCTATTGACAGATATCCTTTTAAACTAATAGTTTATTGAATTTCTTGCAATTTTGTTATCGTACCAAAGTTTATTGAAATCACAATCGCTATAAACGAATATTGAACACCGACTATAGAAAAAAGTTCAAGAATCGGCGACAGGCCACACCAGGCCTACTCCTTAGCGCCGACATAACTATGTTATGCTATACGTGGTATGCCGACTATAAACGTGTTTTCCAATTTTTTGTTCATTTAGAGTTCGCAATTTAATGTGATTCATGTAAATACTGCCAAATCATCATGTCAAAGAAATTAAATTAACGCCCAGCTTGAAATGGTCTACACATCTTCTATTGTTTTCCTCAGAATAACTTGATCAAACCCATTGACCGAACTCAGCATCTGTATTTTTTATTGATGTCGCGTCCACACGAACAGCCCCCACCCGGAAGATTGGGAAAAGAACTATAGGTGTTAAAGAGTGGTCAGAAAGAGGAAAGAGAAAATGCCTGAAAATTACTACATGAATACCTAAATACGAATACCCAAAATACCTAAAATTACCTAATACCTGCATGAATACCTAAAATTACTGCATGAAAGATGTATTCACCGAGCTACTCACATTGAGTTCGAGAACCATTCCGAGGCAGTCCGTGGTGAGGGCGAGGAGCATCACCAGCGCCGCTATCGTCCCCGTCAACAGCGCGTGTTGCGTGAACGACAGCGGTTGCTGCTGGCTGCGGTGTCAGTGACACAAGAGCTTACTTTTTAATATCAATCATTATATTCCAACGCCTGGTTTACTAATGATTATAATCATTAGTTTATTAATTATAATTATGCCTTCAATTTTAGCGTTGTCGTAGCGCGTGTTGCTTGAACGACAGCGGCTGCTGCAGGCTGCGGTGCCAGTGACACATGAGCTTACTTTTTAATATCAATTATTAGATTCCAACGCCTGGTTCACTAACAATTGTGCCTTTAATTTTAACGTTTTCATATAAAGGAATTGATTCTTTAAATTTTCAGGAAAAGATATACGTACTAATTATTAGGTTTTTAATTGATTAAGATAAATACCTTGCGACAGTAAAGAATTCTATCACTCATTTTCATATCGCATTCACTTTACTCTTAATAATACCCCGTAAACTGATTGCATATTAATAATTATTTATTATTTTTATTATGCAATTTTAGTTTGAGGAATTAGTTAATCCTATTTCTAAATGAATGAATAGAGAATTGAATTTCTTCAAGTTTTTTAGTGAATTGTGAATAGCGATATGTTTTTGATGCGGCATAATTCAGATGAACATTGGCTCAATAGATAACCTAATACAATATATATATATTTTAAAGAAAAGTTTCAGTTCTCATATTATAAGCTTGCCCAGGACTTAAGTCAGTTAATCCTCCAGTGTTAATTACTGTAGCCACACGGAATTGCTACGCAGAATAACATACAGAATGTTATAATATATGAAATAATATATTCAGTATTTACAAAGATAAAATAAGAAATTTGCTTATAAGCTTTCACAGGACTTGAGTCAGTTATTACTCCTGTGTTAATTAATGTCGCTACACGGAATTGCCATGCAGAATAACATAACATAACATAACATAACATAACATAACATAACATAACATAACATAACATAACATAACATAACATAACATAGTGATTTCGGCGCTGAGGCATAGGCCTGATGTGGCCTGTGGCCGATTCTTTTCCTTTTATACAGAATAATATAATATATAAAATAATGTATCCAGTATTTATAAAGATAAGAAATTTAAATAGATAAGAAAGTAAAGATTAAATCGTCAGAGAAGTGACATCACCTGAAGAAGGATGTCTCGAGGACGCCCCGAGCCACGAAGCACTCGATGGGGAAGGTTAGCAGGATGGTGAGCGAGTAGAGACCCCGACACGCGTTCATCAGATCGTCACGCCAGCAGTAGTTCTCGAACACGTCACCTTCATGTGGGTGACGTACAATATAAAATTGATTAATGCACATAAACCTATACTTCATCAGGACGTCGCACCCGCAGTAGTTCTCGAACACGTCACCTTCATATGGGCGACGTACAATACAAAATTGATTAATGCGCATAAACCTATAATGATCATTGAGATGGAGCATCAAACTAAGCAGTCGGAAGATTTACTGTACATATTGGATGATTTTTCACTGCGATGATTAATTTTTAGGCTTATTAATCAAGCATAAATTATTTTTTTAAAGCTGCGAGCTAATACAAAAACAAAATAAAATGACTTGGCGTTTCAGACGCTATAGGACAAATTTTTCATTCTAAATGGGATGACAATCGAAGGTGTAAATTGATACTTATTTGACTGAAAATATAAGCAGTAAATGCTAAGGAAATATGATGATGCTTTGAACTCTGGATCATGAAAAGATTTATACTGAAAAATATGCCCAAAACATCAACCCACTTGCTTTTAATTTTGCGGAATTACCTTACTTGACAGCATACAGGTCAGAGTACATTGAATAATATGAATTAAAAAGTTTTAAAGGATTATAATGAATTACAATAACAGGTTTAAAGAATATGTTGATAATGACATATGGGACGAACCTTGCACGAATGACGTGAACGGAACGTAGCCTGAGATAGCGAACGCGGCGCTCAACACGGCCGAAACCGCGACCGAAATGTGCGTAGTCTGTGAAGATATAAACTAATATATTCAGTATTTACAAAGATAAGAAATTTAAATAGATATACGTATATAGGAAAGTTGAGATTAGAACGTCAAAGAAGTCACATCACCTGAAGAAGGATATCTCAAGGACAATAATCAAAAATAATTGAATAAACTTCCAACGAAGGTGTTGTTTAGCAATGACCTCGGTTGTGAGGGAATTTCCTGAATTCGCTTGTATTTCCTAGTATTTAAATAATTATTTTCAGTTATGGTGATAAATTAATGAGTCGTTTTACTACCCACAACCAATCCGCTGTACGTAAGAGATCGATTCATGTTTTCACTAACTTTTTGATGAATCATTTTGCTTCTTTTCCAATAATTAATCGTTGTCACTTTTTATGAACGTTTATTTTCATTGCATCGGCAGCAAATTATAGATAACATTTTTACTGTTACCAGGCACTTAATTAAGTTAATTAGCTTGAATATGATTTTTTTTACCATGACAAAATTTTTAAAACATAGGTAGATCTGTCTTCTCAACGTTTCTACCAATGCTTCAAAACTGACAAATAGTGTATTAACAATTCTATTCTAAGGGTAACACCAATGACCATCTGCCCTACCCAGTGCGGCCACTTCTGGTAGTCAGGACAGAGCTTGAGTAACTCTTTAATAAAAACTCAGGAAAGGTAGCTGACCTTGTTCCAGCGTTGCTGCGTGTTGTTAGCAAGGCTCTCGTAGACCAGGAAGCTCGAGTGATGACACATGAAAGCAAAACTCAGGATGCCGATCGCTGAAGCAGAGTTTGAGTTAACAAACCTCCACGACTCAGAGCCATGTCCAGCACTGACGGCACAACATGGAAATACTGACGTCAGGGCATAAGCTGGTAAATAACATCATTAATTGGAGCAAATACACAAGGAAACCCGCTTCATCCGACGGCCGTTAATATAAGATCACGAGAAAAAAGTTTGTCACAAAAAGTCACAACAGTCGATCTCGTCACAAAATAATGCCTGGACGAGAACGACTTTATAGCACGAAGAGATCTACAAAAATCAACGTGGATAATTAGAAATTATATTATCAGCAAGTATTAACAATTTTTTACTAGGACACACAGGCTTAACTCACGCGAGCTCAGACATTATGGGCGCTCTGACCATCATTGCTAAAATTTAACTGCTGATAATTGATCATCTCATTAGTGGACGGGATGAACTTTTCTTCTTGCACCATAATGAATGGTAATAGGCGTTAATTTGTGATGGCATCATGCATAGATATATAACAGAGCCAGCTTAATGTTACGCAGAAGAAGAAAGATGGTCCTGCTGTGCTCACCGGTACAGTGACAAAGGGAAGGTGATGAATACCGTGACTGTAATCATGATCACTTCTCTGCGTGCAAGGAAACTGGTAGCCGAGACCCCTGCCAGTCTGATGAAGACCTTGGTTAGCGTGTCCCCGACGATGATGTTGTAGCTGATCAGGGCTAAGGGATATCAAGGGAGGGGTGGCGGTGAAACTTTAAGTATATAAGGGGCTTGTGTGTCTCATGAATACATCAAGAGTGCCAGATATCTTAAAGCTTTTGATTTTTGTACTCTCACAATTTCTTCGTGATTTTTATAGTGACCGAGAATTTGTATCATTCATTTACAGCGATGATTGACAAAATGATAAAATCAAAATAATAAAATACTAATGACTCAAAGTGATTGAATGTCGAAAACAGAATAATCGAAACAGAACAGAACTGCGACAACATTTATTTTCTAAACGAATGAATAGATAAACTGATGACAAACATCGCAACTAAAACCAGAATGAAGGACTTACAAATAAAGGGGTAGAGGAACTGAAGGCATGCGCAGACAACGTATCCAGCCCGACCAAAGGCAGCGTGCGCCAGGTCCTGATATGTGCTGACCTCAGCCGTACGCCCCGCGGCCACCAGCAGCACCAGCGACCTGTCCGTGACGAAGGCAACCGCGAGGAGCAGCAAGAGTCCGACGCCGAGCCCAGCCTCGTGCAGGGCAAACGGCATGCCTGCAGAGTGCGGTTATAATGGCTGTGAGAATTGCTGCAGTGCAAACTCTGGTAATTTTGCTTTCTTTTTAGCGCATTTTCTCATTTATGAAAAAATGCACTATTGCGCTCGCCATGTCCGTCTGTCCGTCTGTCTGTCCGTCCGTGACTTCATGTTTTCGTCGACGAGAAAATGCGCTCTCTGTCACTCACTGCATTGAGTACCGAGTTATATTTTTTAAACAAATAAACTCTGCTTGTCTCACAATACAAATTGTCAATTCATATAAATTTATATTTGAATTGACAAATTCTGACTACATTCTCAATTTTAAGAATAAAAAGGGCCTTTAAATAAAAATTTCCAATTCAGTTCTGAACGCATCTGCTTGAAATTTAGAATATACCCAATTATTATCAACGCGTCGCGGAAGAAATTATTACAGATTTTTAAGATACCGGTATCTAATTTTTAATTTGTATGTGCGTAGCATGTACGATATCAAAAACAGTCCAGTAATTTTGCACAGCACCAAGTATCTTTCCTTATGGAACTTGTTAACAAACTTTTTTTCATTAGTATTGATTTTACGGATGTAAAAGCTAACAAATTAAAGATACAAGTTGAATGTAGATCTGCAGCAATCTGGATAAATGCGATTCAATTATTTCTTCTTTCAAATTATTCACATTTTTGGTCATTTCGAAAAATATCGTCTCCTACCGAGGAGTAAAAAATATGCTGGATACTTGATGCTGGAAATAAATAAATAAAAAATATACTGGAGAGAGCTGGAAAACGAAATTCTTTATAAGGAAACTGATCCAAAAACCAGCTGTTCAGTAGCTTTTTAGTAGAAATGATGGTATTTGGGATAACTCGCCTATAACGCCACTGCCAACGATCGAGTTGACATAGTTGGCGCTGGTCAGGAGTATGGAGCTTTTTTCCCGCTTGTTATCCTCCACGGAGTCGACCTGCTCCATGGGGGCTGAAATTGCTGGAGCAGCCAACTGAGGGACGGATTCTTCCTCCTGCGAAGGATAACAGAGACATGCTCGAGTGATCAGATACACTAATTAATTCCCATGGGCACAAAATAATGAAATTCTGAACATGGGAAATTTTTAGTTTATCCTGGACTCTATCGATAAATTAAAAGCGCTTCTAAAATATGCAAAGAAAAATATTATACATAAATGTATTTTTGAATGGATTGCATACTATGAGCTGAAATGCTGAAACAATTTCTCATCGAGATTACATTAGATGTCCCTATCGTAGAGTCAGCTTTATTGGACGATAACGCAATTATGATGTTGCTTGTTAAAAATATTAAAATCAAAATTTGAAATACATAGCGCATTTACTTATAATCGGCATTATTTTCTCTAAAAATTTGAGCTAAAATATTGTGAGTTTTGGCTATTTTGCGTGTAAAAATATTAAAATCAAAATTAAAAATACATAGCGTATTTACTTAAACTGATGCGTAGATTAAATTAGTGCAGCTTAAGAAGTTTTAGTTTATCACACTAAATGTTAGGCTAGTATTTTGGACTAGGCTAGTTACTACCATTGTTTGTAGGAGTATTCTGTATTCAAATGTTAAATATGTCCATCACACCATCCTTATCCTCATGGCACTAAGTTAAATCATGGTTCCAAATGTCCAAGACTTAATTAGGTTTCGGCCCATATTCAGTTTGGTTTCATGAAGCCAGAACACAAAACTGTTCACAAACACGTTTGAAATTTTTTCCCTTATGTATATCTCGGAATAGAAAATTTGATTTTCTCATTTATTTTTCGAATTAACAATATCGTGGAACCATACTTGCTTATACATTTTCTTTTAATATCGAGCGAAATCAATGTAAATCCATTCAAAACATTGAAAGAAAAAACATACAAAAGATTTCAATGAGTTACGGTTAGGCAAGAACTCACTGATGAGTAATTTTCACTAATTTTTTTCATTAACATGGGAAAATCAGACAACTTTTGACAGACAACAATCAGACCGATTTTTTGTTCAGCTTCAAGAAAAATGGAAAAACTAACATCACATATTCCTTTATTGCAACTGAGTTTTGTCAATTTGACACAATTTGCGGATAAATTCCACAATAACTGAAACGAAAAAATTTCATTCTCCTTTAAAATTTGTGCAGAAAATGTTTATTGATTTGTTCGCTTACAACCAGAATGATAAAAATTCAGTAGATTGTGCTGCGAAAATGCCTTTAACAAGCTAATATAGCTAAATAAATCAAACGTTTTTGATTTATTTGCATCAGTACGTTTAAATTTACTCACCTTTGGTACAAAGCTTGCCGGTAGGGCGCCTCCTTCTAAAATATAACTCCGCTCGTTGGGCTCCAGGGCCTTGAGAGGGGTCGCCATGACAGCTGGTCTGCTCAGTACACCTCCTACGATGTCACCACACCTCCTACGATGTCACCACACCTCCTACGATGTCACCACACCTCCTACGATGTCACCCACCTCCTACGATGTCATCACACCTCCTACGATGTCACCACACCTCCTACGATGTCACCCCACCTCCTACGATGTCATCACACCTCATGCAAATGAGTGTACTAGAGACAGCTTAAAATAAAGCCTACCGACACTACTGAAGTTCTTCTCACATTACTAAACGATTGTTTATTAGAGAAGTGTTTCCCATTAAAACATCAATAACAATAATAGGAAGACTTGAATTTGTTTCTATTCTGGTGAAGTTGAAACGGAGCTGTTTGTTCGCGATATATGCTCCAGTGTCAAATAAATAAATATATCTGCAGAATCAACTGGATTACAACTATTCATGTTTATCAACGTTTTTCATTTTTTTTCTGAAGCTAGCCTTTCTATCTATGAATTAAATTAAAACAATATTACGACGTTACTGAACTTCTGTTCATGTTACAGTATTGCTTTCATCGAACTCAAATTACTTTACCTTCTTTAACACCAAACTCAAAAGTAGCATCCATCAGTCATGTAAATTTCAGGAAAGTTCCCATTCAACACTAACTAGATGTCACTTGATTAATTCTGAGAATTATATATATTCATTCTCTATCATTTATTCATTCATTCTCTATCGGAGTACTTTCGTTCAAATTCCAAAGCTAATGTTAACAAAACCAAAGTTTTTCATTAGAAGATCGAAGATTTTAATACGCAATAAACTACCTTTAAATTTCAACTCACAGTTTTAAATACTTATGACGATAATAAACTTAATTTGAACTCTTAACATGTTTTAAGTACTTAATTATTAATGCGCAGCAACCGAACAGCTTAACGCTTCAGTAAAAAATATGATCGACACGAGTCTACGACATAACGCAAATTCTCGGTTCATTCGAGCACGAGTTCATTCTCCTAGTTTCGGCTAAATATATAAAATTGTGCTTTAATAAAAACGATCCTAAATAATTATTGATAAATAGCTGTTAAATCGATGTAAAATACAACAAAGGAATTAAGTAATAAAACACGCAAATAAATACAGGAAATTATTTCGATTTTCATTGGATATCCTTTATGGCGGCGCTCGTTATTCCGTCCACAAAAAATATAGCAGCTTATTCGAGCTCCGCTCCGACCTCTGAATGGCTTCAAAAGAATCCTAAACAAACTCGCAGCATCACGCCAAAAAATTTCTGTCAGTTTCTCTGTTTCGTCGAGAACTTAATTTATTTGATTTGTCGTTTTGATCACTCAATACTTATACGTTTTGTACATAAAGTTTCCCAGGGTCTAAAATAAAGAAATCTCATTCATTTTAAATAATTTTTTCCCATACCGGTACGTATGAAGTTTAAGTATAATTTTAAAGTTTATACCCCTCTAATTAAATTATTTTTCAAAAATTCAAGTCCTTCATTACTATAAAATGCTTTCACCCCATTTTTCATTATCTCAGCAGGATGCCGATAGAGCTACACTAACCTTACACCTCGGCAGCCACAGACACACTGACGCCAACTGTAGGACTGCCTCAGCTTCCGATCAGCTGACGTCACTGCGATCCACAGGTGCCACCTGTTGAATGTCGTCCATTTTGCATCGAACAGCCACTTTATAAGTTGTGTAACAACTTGACTTCACAGTTAAATTACTTGTTAAGTAATGTAGCAACTTGACTAGACTGCTAGATTATTCTTTAAGTAATGTAGCAACTTGTCTGCACAGCTAAATACTAGTCAATGCAATGACTCGACTGTACAGCAAAATGACTGGTGCAATAGCGATAGTTTTTGACTGCTCGGCAAAATAATAGTAAAATAATACAGGGACTAGACTATTATGCACAATTAAAGTCAATAAACTCTCTTAAATATTGAAAACTATTCTCACGAGCCACAACTCAATATTAAAACATTTATTTTGCGCGTGAGCTTCAGTAATTTTTGTATCTGCCAATCCAGCAAATTTCTATATTCGAAAAAAATTACATCTCGTTCTTCGACGAGATGTTGCCCAACTGAGAAGGTAGAAATGATAGTTCTACTTGCAAATTGAATGAAATATTAAAATCTGTTGAGTTTATTTCAACAGACCATTTATACAGGGTGTTTCAGAATTAAGTAACCCTTTTAATTTGTTAATAAATAAAAAAACTAAGAACGTTATGAAGTTGAAACTTATTTTATTTAAAAGAAGAACATTTTCATGGTAATATTGCATCATAGTTACGTCATTATCCTGTATAGCTTGCTAAATTTGTGTTTAATTATCAAGCCTTAAATTTTCATCATGATTCGCTACAGCAAAGAAGAAAGAACAAAAATTNAGAGTACACTGAAGAATATGAATTAAAAAGTTTTAAGGGATTATAATGTATTACAATAACAGGGTTAAAGAATATGTTGATAATGACATGTGGGACGAACCTTGCACGTAGGACGTGAACGGAACGTAGCCAGAGATAGCGAACGCGGCGCTCAACACTGCCGATACCGCGACCGATATATGCGTAGTCTGTGAAGATATAAACTAATATATTCAGTATTTACAAAGATAAGAAATTTAAATAGATAGGAAAGTTGAGATTAGAACGTCAAAGAAGTCACATCACCTGAAGAAGGATGTCTCGAGGACGCCCCGAGCCACGAAGCACTCGATGGGGAAGGTTAGGAGGATGGTGAGCGAGTAGAGACCCCGACACGCGTTCATCAGGTCGTCACGCCAGCAGTAGTTCTCGAACACGTCGCCTTCATGTGGGTGACGTACAATATAAAATTGATTAATGCACATAAACCTATACTTCATCAGGACGTCGCACCCGCAGTAGTTCTCGAACACGTCACCTTCATATGGGCGACGTACAATACAAAATTGATTAATGCGCATAAACCTATAATGATCATTGAGATGGAGCATCAAACTAAGCAGTCGGAAGATTTACTGTACATATTGGATGATTTTTCACTGCGATGATTAATTTTTAGGCTTATTAATCAAGCATAAATTATTTTTTTAAAGCTGCGAGCTAATACAAAAACAAAATAAAATGACTTGGCGTTTCAGACGCTATAGGACAAATTTTTCATTCTAAATGGGATGACAATCGAAGGTTTAAATTGATACTGTATTTGACTGAAAATATAAGCAGTAAATGCTAAGGAAATATGATGATGCTTTGAACTCTGGATCATGAAAAGATTTATACTGAAAAATATGCCCAAAACATCAACCCACTTGCTTTTAATTTTGCGGAATTACCTTACTTGACAGCATACAGGTCAGAGTACATTGAATAATATGAATTAAAAAGTTTTAAAGGATTATAATGAATTACAATAACAGGTTTAAAGAATATGTTGATAATGACATACGGGACGAACCTTGCACGAATGACGTGAACGGAACGTAGCCTGAGATAGCGAACGCGGCGCTCAACACGGCCGAAACCGCGACCGAAATGTGCGTAGTCTGTGAAGATATAAACTAATATATTCAGTATTTACAAAGATAAGAAATTTAAATAGATATACGTATATAGGAAAGTTGAGATNGTATCTGCTACCTGTCTCTTATACACATCTACTATTGCGCTCGCCATGTCCGTCTGTCCGTCTGTCTGTCCGTCCGTGACTTCATGTTTTCGTCGACGAGAAAATGCGCTCTCTGTCACTCACTGCATTGAGTACCGAGTTATATTTTTTAAACAAATAAACACTGCTTGTCCCACAATACAAATTGTCAATTCATATAAATTTATATTTGATTTGACAAATTCTGACTACATTCTCAATTTTAAGAATAAAAAGGGCCTTTAAATAAAAATTTCCCTCATTTAACGATTCAGTTCTGAACGCATCTGCTTGAAATTTAGAATGTAACTAATTATTATCAACGCGTCGCGGAAGAAATTATTACAGATTTTTACGACATCTAATTTTTAATTTGTATGCGCGTAGCTTGTACGATATCAAAAATAGTCCAGTAATTTTGCACGGCGTCAAGTATCTTTGCTTATGGAAGTTGTTAACAAACTTTTTTCATTAGTATTGATTTTGCAAACGTAAAAGCTAACAAATTAAAAATACAAGTTGAATGTAGATCTGCCCCATGCTGAATAAATGCGATTCAATTATGTTTTCTGTCAAATTATTCAAATTTCCAGCCATTTCGAAAAATATCGTCTCGAACTCACTGACAGCAACTCCTGTCGAGGAGTAAAAAGTGTTCTGGAACAATGCTGGAAAAGAGAATTCTTTACAGAATAGAATAGAAGTGTCGGCACTGAAGAAATAGGCCCATGGCCTGTTGCCGATTCTTGAACTTTTCGTGACTTGATTCACAAGGGATCCGGCCTTTGGAACGCGATCTTTCCATAACTGACGATTGATTGAGATAGCTGCTGGACTTATTGCCTGGTCCGTAATTTGTTAGGCATTTTAAGACTGAACATATCATGCATGATATGCTCCTGCATAGCTTCGTCTAGTCTGTTCTTGAAGGCGTTCATACTCGGAGCGTCAACGATGCTTTATAAGGAAACTTATTCATAAACCAGCTGTTCAGTAGCTCTCTACTAGACATGATGGTATTTGGGATAACTCGCCTATAACGCCACTGCCAACGATCGAGTTGACATAGTTGGCGCTGGTCAGGAGTATGGAGCTTTTTTCCCGCAAATTTTAAAGTTTATACCCCTCTAATTAAATTATTTTTCAAAAATTCAAGTCCTTCATTACTATAAAATGCTTTCACCCCATTTTTCATTATCTCAGCAGGATGCCGATAGAGCTACACTAACCTTACACCTCGGCAGCCACAGACACACTGACGCCAACTGTAGGACTGCCTCAGCTTCCGATCAGCTGACGTCACTGCGATCCACAGGTGCCACCTGTTGAATGTCGTCCATTTTGCATCGAACAGCCACTTTATAAGTTGTGTAACAACTTGACTTCACAGTTAAATTACTTGTTAAGTAATGTAGCAACTTGACTAGACTGCTAGATTATTCTTTAAGTAATGTAGCAACTTGTCTGCACAGCTAAATACTAGTCAATGCAATGACTCGACTGTACAGCAAAATGACTGGTGCAATAGCGATAGTTTTTGACTGCTCGGCAAAATAATAGTAAAATAATACAGGGACTAGACTATTATGCACAATTAAAGTCAATAAACTCTCTTAAATATTGAAAACTATTCTCACGAGCCACAACTCAATATTAAAACATTTATTTTGCGCGTGAGCTTCAGTAATTTTTGTATCTGCCAATCCAGCAAATTTCTATATTCGAAAAAAATTACATCTCGTTCTTCGACGAGATGTTGCCCAACTGAGAATCTAAAAATGATAGTTCTACTTTCAAATTGTATGAAATGATAAAATCTGTTGAGATTATTTCAAGCAACTATTTTTATTTCTATACCTCTAATCTCAACTTTGAATTGAATGCAATGTTTTCACTAAACATTTGCGTATCATTTGCTGGAATGGCGTGAAAATGAAAGTAACAGGTCATAAGATCAATGTATAATAAACATATACAAAAATATAGGGTAACAGTAACAAGTAATTTAAAGACATTTTATTTTATATTCTATGTTTTCACCGAGTTATTTATTCAATGATTATTAGTATTATGGGAGACTGGGAAGCGTATTTAAATACGAGAATACGTAGTCACTTAGCTTGGAATAGCAATTATGTGACATAATGAATGTGAATTACTTGAAATAATTTTACAAGTCTTGAAATCAGAAAAATCTCATTTTAATTTCACCGGAATGCAAAATGACTCAAGGAATGTTTCGTATTCTATAGCCCGAAATTGGCATTTAGTTAATTGATAGTCATACTAACATTAGGCAACGAGATTTAATTAAGAAACGAAATCGGCAATTAAGGTGAATCTCAATAACAAAAGCATTACCGTATAGTTAAAGTTCACCCTTCACCATGTTCGAAGATAAGAAATTTTAAAGCAGAAGTTCTCGCTCGTAAAAAATGTAGGAAAATTTCAAATGTGTAAAGTACAAATCTTAGAAATCTTAGGTATATGGTGGGAAACGTTCTCGTGTCATTTAAACAATTTCTCTGTTTTGCAGGTAGAATAGAACTGCAAGGGACAAATGATGAATTTTGATAAATAGTTTATGATACATTTTCTTCTCTCAATCGAAGTCTAAATTATCAGTTAAGATAAATGGATTATTTCTCTAAAAAGTTCTCAACTATCTGCAAGAGATCAAGTAGTGTCATATTCATATAATTTCGACTCGAGCAATCTGCATGCATTCTTCTGATTAAGTTCTTCCTAACTGCGCAATAAATACTGAAACATTTTCTAACATAATACATTCAGGCAAAATAAAATAATTTTCCAAAGGATATCGTCGAACAATTTACTGCAGTAACACACAACTAACCTGGCCCCCAATCCGCTTATATATACACGACTTTTTACATTGTATGTACCATGGTAATTGTAATCAACCATCGTATGTCACCAACGCGGTTAACGGCTGGATCTTGTTGAATTATTTCACGAGCCACCGCCTGCCATTGGAATGTTCATGATACCGAGTCTTGTGTCTCTTTTGTTTCAAATCCATTATTGTAAAAAAGCAAAGCCCAGGTAAATGACCACGAACAAATAACAACTGAGCAGCTTCCTAGGTTCGATAACCGAAATTTAATTGCGTCAGGAACTTGCAGCTCGATGGGCAAACGGTTCAGCCCCGACATGACAACTGCGTTCACCGCTGAACCTACTGGTCAATAGTCGACGCCCAGGAATGTGAATTTGATAGGCACTTTAGTACCATTGACT